ATCTATCTATCTATCTATCTATCTATCTATCTATCTATCTATCTATCTATCTGGAGTTTCACTCTGTTGCCCAGTCTGGAGTGCAGTGGTGCGAGCTCGGCTCATTTCAACCTCTGCCTCCTGGGTTCAAGTGATTCGCTTCCCCAGCAGCTGGGATTACAGGTGCCTGCCACCACGCTCACCTAATTTCTTTTCTTTTTTTTTTTTCAGTAGAGACAGGGTTTCACCAAGTTGGCCAGGCTGGTCTCGAGCTCCTGACCTCAAGTGATCCACCCGCCTCGTCCTCCCAAAGTGTTGGGATTACAGGCGTGAGCCACCGCCCCCGGGCCAGGACATGTCTTCTATTGCCTGATTCCTGCAGCAGCTCCGAGCTGGACTCTGCCTTCCACATCCCAATCCCAACCCCAATCGTAATGCCACGGAACAGACAGAGATGTGTCAGTGATGAAGTCATTCCCTGCTTAAAACTGTGACAGCTTCCCAGCGACCTCCTTCACTTGGGTTAGGAGGGCTAACTTCCCTCTGCAGCTCAACGCCTGTCTCCAACCCTCTGCTCCCACTCTAGGTCCCCATTCCCCATTTCTACAACAAACTCTCGCTTAGATTCCTCCCCAACGTCCTTCTCATCTTTAGGTCTTGGTTTACTCCCTCCCTGGGGGTGGAATACGGCTGTGATGGAGGGAGGGGCTGGCATCAGCGCGACCCAAGCGGGGTGTCCTCGGAGCAGCGGGGACTGATGCCAGTCCCTCCCTCCATCACAGTCCTCCTCTCTCTCACACCAGGTGATCAGGTGTCACCTGGTCAAGTGTGTCGCCCCTGGGTGGCCTGGGCCTGGGTCTTCCGACCTCTCACCTGGGCCTTACGCTGCGGTCACCTCATCCAGCTCTCTTTCACGTCCTCGAAGATTTCTGCCCTTTGTTCCCCTCACCCGTCTCCCCGGGGGTGCCTCCCTGAGCCCCCGAGGGGCTTGGATTCCCAGAGACACTTCCTCCCCAGCACTCTCCGGGGCTCTGCCTCCAGCTGTGTCATTATCCGATGAGTGTCTGTCCCCCTTTGCGAATGTGAGCGGCGAGAGGGCCTGGCACGCAGCAGGTGCGCTAAGTAGTGAACGCGCGGAGCCAGAGACTGACACGGAACGGGCGTGTCCAGCGCCCAGACCCTGCCAGGAGGAAGGACCCGCGCCCTGCGGCCTCCTCGGGACCCCGCAGCGCCCCCCGCTTCCCCCTGCGGAGCCGGAAGCCGCCGGCTGGTCCCCTCCCCGCGGCGCCTGCAGCCTTATCTCTGCGCCCCGAGGGCCCCGGGAGGAGCCGCGGGCGCACCGGGAGGGACGGGCGGCGGCATGGGCCGGGGGCCCCGGGGTGCAGGCCCTCCTCGCCGCCTGCTGCCGCTGTTACTGCTGCTCGGCCTGGCCCGCGGCGCCGCGGGAGCGCCGGGCGCCGACGGTGAGTGCGGGCGGGGACCGGCACGGGCGGCCCCGGCTGGGCCTCGAGGACTCTGGGCGCACTGACGCTTCCCCGCCCCTGGGCCGGGCCGGCGCGGTGCCGAGGCGTGGGGCGCAGGTGGGACCCGCGCTGGCCGTTGGAGATCGGCAAGGAGGAGCTCAGAGAAGCGAGGAGCTCCCCGCCGGGCTTCCCTGCCCCCGCCCGACCCCGCGTCACCGGGGGACGCCGGTTTTGAGGCGGCCTGGCCGGGTCCCCAGGGACCTCTGCTGCCCAGGAGGCGGGGGTGGGGGCTGGGCGCGAGCGCGGACACGGGCAGGGCGGCGCCCGGGGAAGAGCGGGAGGCCAGGGCGTTCTGCGGAGATGTCACGCTTCCGGCTCTGCGGTGGCTTTTGCTTGACACATTTGTGACCCGAAGCAATTTTCTTTCCACTTTTAATTTTTTCACGTTGTTAGAGAGCCGAGTGCTAAATATGGAGAGAAGGAAGCGTAAGGAAGAGTACAGGAATGAAGCCATTAATTCACTCATTCATTCAACAGATGGCCCTTGAACAGCTTCCCTGTGTGCAATGAGGGCGGGCAGTGAGGGCCCTCGTGGAGCTCACTGTCTGGAGGATTTAGACCAGCAAATGTTCTATTTCCAAGCCATCGAGGGAGTTGTTTTTCCTCCTCTGCAAAATGCAATGTTGAGCGGAGTAGGAATTACACAGAGGATTCAGACACGCAGGGGAGGTGACATTCATCCACATAACTGTACTACAAGGCAGAATGGCATGAGTGTTCTGAGAAGGTGTGGGTGGTGAGGGCAGGGAAAGGGAAACCGGTGGTGACCCTTGAGCTGGGCCATCAATGATTGGTCATATTTGGATATGGGAAAATGTGGAAAAGGTATCCCAGCTCATAGCAGCAGGCACTGCCACCTCTCCACAAATGTGTGTAGAATGAATGAATTCCCTCAGAATTCTGGCTCGGGGGAGAAGGGAAGGAAGCAAGGAGAGGCACTAAAGGTAGAGGGCAAAGTGCCTTGACTGGCAGACCTAGGCATTTGGACTTAGCTGTGCCTGGAAGCCACTGGAAGCTGTTTCAGGGAGTGACATGAAAAGTGGGTGTAGCCAGTTCTAGGTGCTTGGGGAGCCGCAGGTTAAGGTGCAGACGTGGCCAAATCCAAGCACAACACCACACACAACCAGTCCCGAAAATGGCACAGAAATGGCATCAAGAAACTCCAATCACAAAGATACGAATCTCTTAAAGGGATGGACCCCAAGTTCCTGACAAACATGTGCTTGCCAAGAAGCACAACAAGAAGGGCCTGAAGAATATGCAGGGTGACAATGCCAAGGACATAAGTGCACGTGCTGAGGCCTTGCCCTCATAAACCCCAAGGAGGTTAAGCCTAAGATTCCAAAGGGTGTCAGCTCTTGCCTACATTGCCTGCCCCAAGCTTGGGAAATGTGCTCATGCCCTCATTGCCAAGGGGCTCAGGCTGTGCCGGCCAAAGACCAAGGCCAAGGATCAAACCAAGGCCCAGGCTGCAGCTCCAGCTTCAGTTCCAGCTCAGGCTCCCAAAGAAGCCCAGGCTCCTACAAAGGCTTCAGAGTAGAGATCTCTGTTTGCCAACATGAGGATAGAAGAATTGTCCGCCTTGGACTGCTATCTGCATGGGGCTGATGTCCTCCTTTGCTTTTGTATAAATAAACTTGAGGCAGGGAGGAAATAAAGGGCCTAAGGAACCCCCCATCTTCCTTACTAAAACCAAACACTGATCCTGAAATGGAAGGAAGCTTCCATGTGATGAGATACATGGGGTCTTGTCGTTGAGATTCCTGCCTGCCGCCCCCACCCCCATTCTCTTTGCCTTGGGACTTTTACCATGCCTGGTGGGTATTACAATGGCTCGATCTTCTGAAGTGGCCATTTTTGTAATATTAGGTGCCCTGGTTAAGATTCCTTCCTTGGCTCTACCTCCCAGGACAGTGCGCATAGGACTTGCAGATGCTTGGTGTCTATTTCAGGATCTCTCTAAGGTAGGAAACTGTCCAATGTGGTCCCATTGAATTGTTAGGCTAACATGGCTGAACACAGCTGGTAGCTACCTAAGGTCAACTGTAACTAAAGGTTTTGGGGTGAATTTGAGGAAACAGAAGTCAAGGCTTCCTGGTTGAGCCTCCTCTCCATATGTAGACATTCTCCCTTCATGTTCAACCTTGGAGAACCTGGTTTTATGAAGGGCAGGTGGACAATAGTGGACAATGTGTATCAATAGTGGACAATGATAGTGGACAATGTAGGGAAAGACTGGAGGCTTGGACGAGCCCGTTGAGGAAGTTGTTGCAATAGCTGGCCTGGAAGTTCTGAGGACTGGGCCCACAGTAATGACAGCAGAAGTGGAGTGAATGTAGACAGTAAGGTGGAAATGGACTGGAAGGAAGGATTTAATAACAGATGTGAAGGTGCAAGGGAACAGAAGGGGAAAGATGACACTAAGGCTTGGGGGCTGGGTGACTTGGTATATGTTTCTACAGGAGGAGAAAGATTTGGAAAGAAAGATGATTCGTTGTTTTGGACGTCCTGAATTTGAGGTGCTGTTATGGATTTGGAGAGATGAAATCAATAGACTTGATGGTTGCTTGAAACCTTGAGGTTGGCAAGATTGGGAGGATGAAGGACAGATTCTGGGAGAGGATTCTTGGAGTTTAGATGGTAGATGCAAGTTGAGAAGGAAGAAGCAGCATCCAGGTAGAGTGGAGAAAGACTGGGCTCATTTAGTCAAGGAAACTAAGAGGCGGGAAGCCGAGAGGTGGAGATTGAGAAAAGGCTTTGAATTTGATGGATCTGGTCAGTGGAGACCCAGAGTTAGCAGAGAAGAAAGGGTGAGAGCTAGATGTGAGGGCTGTAGATGGAGGGCAGAGACCTTGGTTACAGAGTAGATACTTTTTTTTGGAGACAGAGTCTTGAGTCTTGCTCTGTCACCCAGGCTGGATGGAGTGCAGTGACGTGATCTCACTTGCTGCAACCTCTGCCTCCCAGATTCAAGAAATCCTCCTACCTCAGCTTCCCGAGTAGCTGGAATTACAGATATGCACCACCACACCCAGCAAGTTTTTGTATTTTTAATAGAGGCAGGGTTTTACCATGTTGGCCAGGCTGGTCTTGAACTCCTGACCTCAAGTGATCTGCCCGCCTCAGCCTCAAAAAGTGCTGGAATTATAGGCATAAGCCACTACTCCTGGCCTCGGAGCAGATACTTTTTTTTTTTTTTTTTTTTTTGAGATGGAGTCTCGCTGTGTCACCCAGGCTGGAGTACAGTGGTGCGATCTCAGCTTACTGCAAACTCTGCCTCCCAGGTTCACGTCATTCTCCTGCCTTAGCCTCCCGAGTAGCTGGGACTACAGGCGCCCACCACCACGCCCGGCTAATTTTTTGTATTTTCAGTAGAGACGGGGTTTCACCATGTTAGCTAGGATGGTCTCGATCTCCTGACCTCGTGATCCGCCTGCCTCAGTCTCCCTAAGTGCTGGGATTACAGGTGTGAGCCACCGTGCCCGGCCAGAGTAGATACTCTTTAAAGAAATTAGAAGGAAAATGAAGGTAACATTCAGTTGAGCTGGTCAAGTCAGTCCAATATTTTTAGGGAATGCAAAACAGACTCAAACATATTTTAGACTGAGGGGTATTATTTAGTAGAGAGGGGAAAAGTGAAAAAGCAAAAATAAATGAGATAGTTAATGGATGGAGCAGGTAAAAAATTAAACTTGGGCTATAGGTGGGAGAGGTTAGTTTCTGAAAATGGGGGGCGAGGAAGAAGATTGGAGAACTGTGCTTCCCTTCTCCCATGGCAGGCTACTTAGTGAGTGCCCTTCATATTTCAAAGCAAGCCTGGGTGTCCTCACTCCTCCTAGAAAGTCCGTTGGCGCTATCCACTTCTCTTTACAGCACCAGTAATACCATATTCCATGCCTTGGCTGTACACTTATACCATATTGCAGTGTGATTGTTTACTAAACTAAGAGCTCCTTGTGGGTAGGGACAGTGGCTTGTATTAGGAATCTGGTATTCAAATAAATGAATACCATCCAAACGAGAATAAGCAAAGGCTATTTATTCAGGGCTTGCTGTGACAAGGGAGTCAGCCATCATTACTTCCATTTGGCAGAGACTCAAAGATAGGCCGGGGATGGAAAAGTGTTACAGTAGGAAAAGGAAGGGCGTTGGTGGGCGGTGGTGGTTCAGGTGTGCCCAGCTGGAGAAGTTTCCTAGCAGCGTGCATCCCATGTGATTAGTGACAGGGCCATATCTGGCTTTTCTGGTTAGTCCCAAGTTGGAATTGGGGGCAAAAATTAGGGTAACTGGCCGTTACTGATTAAAGCCTGACCATTTGGGGCTGATTGCTACAGAGTTCCTGGAATGATTGCTACAGACTGTGGGTTAGAATTCTATTTTAATATATGGGCTGGGTGCAGTGGCTCATGCCTATAATCCCAACATTTTGGGAAGCTGAGGTGGGCAGATCACTTGGGGTCAGGAGTTTGAGACCAGCCTGGGCAACGTGGTGAAACCCTGTCTCTACTAAAAATACAAACAAATCGGCCTGGCATGGTGGTGGGCCCTTGTAATCCCAGCTACTCCAGAGGCTGAGACAGGAGAGTTGCTTGAACCTGGGAGGCAGAGGTTGCAGTGAGCCGAGATCATGCTACTGCACTCCAGCCTAGGTGACAGAGCAAGACTCTCTCTTTCTCTCTCTCTCTATACAAACACACACACACACACACACACACACACACACACACACACACACACACACACACA